AAAATAAATTAAAACACAATGCATACAAGAAGCTATACAAGAAGCTATACATTTTATACAACAGTAAAAACTGGAAATAACCAAAAAATTTATCAACTAATAAATGAATAATCAAACTGTGGTGCATGTAACCAATGAAATACTGTTCGGCAATACAAACAAATGAAACATTGACACATGGTACAACATGGGTAAACCTTGAAATGTTACGTTAAGTAAAAGAAGTTATACAAAGCCTACATGTTTCATTCTTGCATATACATGAGATATCCAGAAGAGGCATATTTACAAGGACAGAAATTACATTTTCAATTACTTTCTTATGCATCTGGAAACTGGACAACGAATAAGGATGACAGAAGAAGAATTGATGCCTTAGAGTTGTGGTGTTGGACAAGAGTACTGAATAATATTCCATGGCCTGTCAAAAGAACAAACAGTTATGTCTTGGAAAAGTGCAGCCAAAGTACTACTTGCAGGCTAGGATAATGAAACTTTGAATCATATACTCTGGGCATGTTGTAGAGCGGCCAGTCCTTAGAAAAGTCTATTATGCCGGGAAAGGTCATCGAAAGAAAGGAATATTCTCAAAAAAATATATTAACAGAGAGACTGTAAAAATGGGCTTGAGTACAGCAGGGATGGTGAGGATGGTTCAAATCTGTTGTTCACAGGGTTGACATGAGTCAAAGTTGAAAGGACCACACATAACAACAGGGATGTAAAGATAAAGGAAATGGGAATTGACTACTGAATGGGTGCAAGATTTTTTTTAGGTGATTAAACATTCTAAAATTGTAGTGCTGAATAGAAAGCGTAAGTGTCTGGCATAGAAATGGAAAATCAGAAATTAAAGCCATTATACACATGAGTAATATATATTACTCATACATACATAAACAGTGTCTCTAAATTATACATGTAAAAAATTTAATTAGTAAATACCAATATATACATACATACACACACCCCGCCACACCCACACCCACTAAAAATAAAATGATGGTGATAACTGCATAACTGAATAGACTAAAACTACAGAATTGCACACTTTAGGTTGGTGAATTCTTTGAATGTGAATTACACCACAAAATTTGACACATTTTAAATTTTTTTTGCCACTGAAATTTATGAATTTTAAATAACATTCTAAAATCTACCCTATCAAGATATATTGCTTTAGACAAAATTATATTCCTGAAACAAATACAAATTATTTTAAGAATTTTAAGTATCATTATTCTCACTTATTCTCTTAAAAAGCATTGTTTCTCCAGTGAATAAATATTTTAAAGGAGGGCATATACGAGACAACTTTAGACAGAGAAGTTATATTAATTTATAAGGCATTTAGCACAATGGGAACATAATCATCCAATAACGTAAAAATTTTACTGAGACTGCCCTGACATGGAAAAAATTCAACTTCAGATATACTTCCACTTGTTGTTGTTGTGAAGTGCCGTCGAGTCACAGGCGACTCATAGCGACCCTATGAAGGAGAGTCCTCGACGCTTGGGTGCCTTTCATCCTCTCTCCAGGTTCACATGGTTTCCGGAGGCAAGCTTTTATGGAAGTGGACGCCATTCCTCCTTCCAAATACTTCCACTAAAGGGTAGATAAACTAAAACACCAATAGTGAAGCGATTCTTTATGAGAAATTTTAAAATGTAAGAATAAAAGAAGGGTCTTATATTTTGAGTCTTCAGATTTTTTATTTTTTTTTTTATTTTGTGAAGTTCTTTACTTTGGAAAAATAGAAAAGACGACCTCCTTTACTAACAATGAAGTCTTTCACAGCAATTTGTTCTTTAATTCTGAAGGGTTCTATGGCCAATAAAAATAATCTAATCAAGAGACAAAGTAATGATTAAGGAAGAGATCAGAAAATAAAATCTAAATTGAAATAAATAAGTTCATGAAAGTGACAAGAAAGGGTAACTGAGTTTTAATCTGCACTGCATAGTCCCTATAAAAGGGATAAATGATCTGGTTGGTAGTAGAGAAATAAAAACAATTCATTTTGTATATCTGCATAGTCTGTCTTAGACAATAAATATAACTACTTCAGAGTCAAAGGAGTTTTTAAAATATAGTTGCTTGCTATTAATTAATGATCAAGGAGTTGATTTCTCTAAAAATACCTGACAATTTTCATATTATTAGAGTGCATTGCTCTTTGTAATTTTCAATCTAAATGTGCAAAAAGAGCTGGAGTTAGAAAATCAAAAGGGGTGAACTCACTTGGCATTTTGTAAGCAGAAGGAACTGAAGAAAAAATTCAAGCCTCTGTTTGCAATATTTAAGGATGCTTTGGGGGAAAAAATCCAGAAAGCATTAAAAGAAGATGGAAGGAGTACAGAGAGTCACTGTACCAAAAGGAATTGGCTGACAAAAAAGAACTTCATGAAATAATGTATGAGCAAGAGCCTGTGGTTCTGGGGGAAGTTCTAGATACTCTGAATGAATTGGCAGAAAACAAGGCCACAGGAGTTGATGGCATAAGAACTGGACAGCATATATCAACTAGACCTGGCCAACTGATGGGCAATGATGCATATTTGTTCTCATTCTGAAGAAAGGTGACCTGACAGAGTGAGGAAATTATAGAACAGTATCATTAATACCACACGCAAGCAAGATCCTGCTAAAAATTACCCCAAAACAAATGGAACAGCATAACAACAAAGAACTGCCAGATGTGTAGGCTGGATTTAGAAGAGACCATGGTAGTAGGCATTTTATAGCTAATGTCTGACGGATCTTGGCTGAAAAGAGAGTACCAGAGTAATGTCTATCTGTGTTTCATTGACTGTGGATCACAATAAACTGTGGCTAGCTGAGAAGAATGGGAATTCCAGAACACTTGATCTTGCTTGAACACTTGACCTATACTTGAACCAGGAGGCAGTTTAAAGAACAGAGCAAGGAAACAGTGCATGGTTCAAAAAATGGGAAGGGTGTATGACAGGGGTGTGTCCTATCGCCATACCATTTTAATCTATACACAGAACACATCATCCAGGAGGCTGGGCTTTATAAGAAGGAATGTGGCATCAGGATTGGAGGAAGACTCATCAACAACCTGCATTCTAGAGATGCAACAAACTTGCTTGCTAAAACTCAGTAGGACCTGAAGCGCTTTCTGCAGAAGGTCAGGTACTGCAGCCTTCAATATGGCTTGAAGCTCAAAATAAAAAAAAAACAAAGATCCTTACCACTGGGCTGATTGGCAGAATCATGATAGATGAAGAGACTGATATTGTTATCAACGTCTGTTTGCTTGGCTCCACAATCAACACTCTTGGTACCAGCATCAAGGAAATAAAAAACCTAACTACATTGGGAAAACATGCTGTCAGAGACCTCTCTAGAATACTGAAGAGCAACGATGCTAGTCTAGAGATTAAGGTGCACCTTATCCAGGCCATGGTCTTCACAACTACATGCTATGCATCAGAAAGCTGGGCAATGACTAGGGATGACAAAAGGAAAAGTGATGCCTTTGAGCTGTGGTGCTGGAGAAGAGTATTGAATATACCATGGACAGCTAGGTGAACAAACAAGTTCATCCAGGAGAGGGTTAAACCAGGCTGCTTCTTGGAGGCAAGAATTCTGAAGCTCCTTCTGACATATTGTGGTCATGTTGCAAGGAGTGATCAGTCATTCGTGAGGGACATCATGCTTGGAGGGCTAGCTCAAGATAGTAAGACCCTCAATGAGATGGATTGACTCAAGTGACATGGGTAATGGGGGTAGGTGAGTCAGAGACATAAGACTGGCTGAGGATAGAGGAGGGTTCATAATTGTTGTACATAGGGCATCTACGAATCACAAGCAATTCGATGGCACATAACAATAACAACAATTCTATTAGAGGTAAATTAGAATAAAATTTGCATTCAATATATGTGGTAAGATCAAAATAAACATTCTAACTGAAAAAATCCTAGAAATGTTTTGTAAGAAATTTTTGCATAATTAAATCACAGAAGATGTCTTGAGGTATGACTATTCAAATACATGTTATTTAAATTTTAGACCACTTTTAATACCAGTTTAATTTCATGAATATCTGTTTTGAAGGCATACTGAATTTATTTCAGTATAGAGAGACTATCAATGCCTACCTTGTCATATTATTTAAAACCTAAAGAACAGGATTTTTTAAATTTTTTTAACACGTTATGTTGGAAATACTGTGTTGATTTAATAATCTACATCTATTTAAAGAGTGAGACTAGCACTTGCGCAGTTATTTCAGTAGTTTAAATCATTATTTTGAAAACATTGTGAATCTGTTCCTTTGCAATAGAAAAGATAAACATGCAAGAATTTAGAATTATTTTTAAAATTTAATAAATCTGGTTTTTTTCAGTTTTAAACTCAGTGGCACATTCAAATAATATTTAACATAACTTCATATACATGCATAGACACCTCACAATGAATAATCTTGGTATTTTAAAAAGAATAAAAGGGAAAAACCCCTTGCACAATATCTGCATCTAATCTTTTAAGACTTGTAGCAATCTTTTCAAATTTTAATATTCTTGTCTTAACCCTCCAAATTTTTATTATTTCTACAATGATAGTAAATGGCAAATTTTATTTTAGGCACAAATTTTCCTTTACGTTTTTAACATGTTGCAAAGAGGGACATCATGCTTGGGAGGGTGGAGGGGCAGCACAGGTGAGGAAGACCCTCGATGAGATGGATTAATTCAGTGACTGGGGTAATGGAGGTAGGTGTGTCAGAGACAATAAGATTGGCACAGGATAGAGCAGGCTTTAGGGCTGTTGTACATAAGGTCACTATGAGTTGCAGCGACTCAACGGCACATAACAACAACAACAAATTTTAAAAAGCTTTTTAAAACAATAATTTTATAATTCTTCTCTCCCCTATGTGACTTTTGCACATATCTTCCATCTCATAAAGCCTTTCTAGATTATACAATCAATATCTTCAGTAATCATGGACTTTATGTTTCACTTACAAGATATCATTAAGTAGTCTTCTGAAGTGCTCTTGACATCATCATCATTGTCGTCATCGTCATCATCTTCGGTTTTTATAGTAACTGTAGAACCAGGAACACCACTGGCTCCTTGAATCACAGTTTCTGTATCTGAATTAGTTACAAGCACCTCCTCTGATACCATTGTGGGAGAGTCAACTCCTGAAATACAATCTTGAACCACATGTTCTAAGTGTCCATCAGGACCAGTGACAAGGTCAGCCACAAAAACCTGTTCAGGTACCCTAACAGTTTCTGTAATTAGCTCAGAAGTCAGCATGTGATCACCATCATCTTCCTCTAAATCTTCTTCAATGGCAACATCAGCATCAAGAACAGCTTCAGGAACAATCACACCTTCTGTTACTACATCAGTCTCTGTGATGATATCAGGCCCATGGACAACTTCAGCTGCAAGGCCATGATCAAGAGTTATGCCATCATCTGTGACAACATCAGAAACTAATACAGCTTCAGGAACTGAGACAACAATGTGGTCTCCATCAATATGTGCAGTACCAGCCACTCCAGCCACTATAATACAAACAATTATCCAAAAAGAAACAGTTATTTTATTACTGTATATTAATTTACTTAATGTAGTAGATGACATAAAAATGCTTTTAAATAGTCAATGTTGTTGCTGCTATGTGTCACTGAGTCAGAAGTGATCCTCCAGTGGGTGTTCAAAGACTGACTGTAAATCACACAGGAGGAGACTGCTCATCTTTCTCCCATGGAGCTGTTGATGAATTCGTACCAAGTGTCTTCAAGGTGGTACCTCAACTCCTTATCACCAGAGCTCCCTGACAGTAAAGAGTCCTAGCCAAACAGCATTAATCACTGAAAATTTAGCAAGCATATAAAACCCTCACTAACCAGAAATTGATGAACAGGTTAAAAAATTGCTAATAAAGTATAAATTAATACATTAACATAATGTAAAATACTTTATTTTTAAATTAAAATAAAAGTGTCATGATGAGCTATCCCTACATACCAATGAGAACAGCTAAAGACTGATCAGGCTGCATAGAAACCAGGTCACTCATATCTTACTTAACAATATAAAATGTTATAAACCATTGTATAGAATAGTTTGGCTTTTTTTTAACACAAAATTGAGCATGTACTTAATCACAGAACCTAAAGATTACACTACAGGACATTTTCCCCAGAGGAATAAAAGCAAAAGCTCACACAAAATACTGAACATGAATATTCATAGCAGTTTACAGTAGAAAATACTTGTTGTAGCTAAAAAGATTTTGAAATAAACTTTCAACAAGTTAATAGTTTAAAATCCTACAGCTTCACCATAGAATGAAAAACCTGCATGAACTGGCAGATAATCGCATTAAGTGAAAAAAGCCATTGGCAAAGTTTGTAATATGGTGTAATGTATAAATGAAATCTTCATATATGATTGTTGTTAAGTGCTCTCAAGTTGGTTCCCATTCCTATGTACAAGATAATGAAATATTACTCAGACTTGTATCACTTCATAACCTTTGCTATGTCTGTACTATTATAGCCAGTGTCTATCGATTTCAATAGGATTTCTCTCATTTTCACTGACCCTACTCTATAAGACCAAAGAATCACTGCCTTCAAATCATGTTGCTAGCAAATAGTACTGAATATACCATGGAATGCCAAAAGAACAAACAAATCTGTCTGGGGAAGTACAACCAAGGTGTTCCATAAGCTTTCACTGTGCCTGAAAATCTCAGGTATGAATCACTCCTCCTCTCCTAAAATCCAGCCCCAAGGTGCAAAGCTGGCCAGAAGACACTTAGGTCCTAAGGCAGGAAGAGGGACTGGCCACAAAGCTGCTCGATCAAATGACATTTCCTGTTGGCTAGAGATTATAAATAACCCTGCCCTGCCCTTTATGCGAATGCCATTTTTGGTTTTTTTCTGTCTCAGCCTACCTATGTTGTTATGTGCCTTCGAGTTGCCTGCGAGTCTGTGACCCTATCTATCTACAACAGCCCTAAGCCCTGCTCAGTCCTGTGCCAATCTCATTGTCTCCATCACACCTACTTCGATTACCCAAGTCACGGAATCAATCCACCTCACAGAGGGTCTTCCTCTCCTGCACTGTCCCTCCACCCTCCCAAGCATGATTTCCTTCTCCAGAACTGGTCCCACTTTGCAACATTTCCAAAGTATGTCAGACGAAGCCTCAGAATCCTTATCTCCAAGAAGCAGCTTGGTTTAACCCTCTCCAGGATGAACCTGTTCGTCTATGGTATATTTAATACTCCAACACCACAGCTCAAAGACAATTTTCCTTCTATACTCCCTAGTCATTGTCCAGCTCTCTGACGCACAGAAAGTGATTGAAAATACCATGGCCTGTATCAAGGCACACCTTAGTCTCCAGAGTACACCATTGCTCGTCAGTACTTTGGAGAGGTCCCTAACAGCAGACTTTCGCACTACATTACGTCTTTTAGTTCCGTGGCTATGGAGCCAAACAAACGAAAGCTGTTAACAATTTCAATCTCTTCACCATCCATCCTGATGCTGTCAATTGGCCCAGTGGTGATAATCTTTATCTTCTTGATATTGAGCCTCAATCCATATTGAAGGCTGCAGTCCTTGACCTTCTGCAGCAAGTGCCTCACAGCCTCCAGTGCTGTTTGTTGGCACATTCTCTGGGTTCAAACTAATCAAGGGGCAGAAACCAGAACCTTTCATCTGGCACTGAAACCCAAGAGGGGATTGGGATCTATAGACTGACCCCTCTATCACAGAGAACAGGTCACAGTAGCCAGACAAAGGACATGTTTTGACCTACAGTCTCCAGTTGATGTCCTGTGAATGCATACACTGGTCACTAATCACTACTACTGATAAGTCTCCCTCCCCTAGAGCTTGGTTGATAGAGGAAAAACTCCTCCACAGCCTCTCTTGGTTTTTCTCACTGCCAGGAACCACATGTTGGTCCAAAATGGCTTTTTGTCTTTTCTTTTTTTACCCTAGTCTGTCCTTCCATTCCCCCCTTATCTTACATATTCCAGGGTCTCTTCATGTAGTTTATCATGTTAGTTAACAATTTCTTTTGGGCCAGCTTGTGACATCACCCTAGCTTTTTGTTTTCCTACTCTAAAGATGGGACCGGTCTAAAGTGTACTTCTTACAAAGCCAATTGTCATCCACTCCACTTAGCCTCTAGCTCCCCCTCATCATCATCTTTTCCAACTCCCTTAGGCTTTTTATCTTCCCTGCCGCCATCATGCTCAAAAGTACCTGCTTCTTATCATCTACTGTCCCCTCTCCAAGCACCTCTGGTACTATTGCTATCCACTAACCTTCCCCACCTCCTGAACCCCGTGAGTCCCTGTCCCACTGTCTCAAACCCTAATATCTATCCTCCATTCCTACCCACCCAACTCTCTCCCCTTCTTCAAAACCTCAGCAAAAGCCTCTTCTAGTTCCTTTCTCTTCTCCCACACACACCCATTCAGGCATCATCTTTGGCCCAAGTCCTACCCTCACTTCGGTGCATGTGTTGGAGTGTCCCTTTGAAAAGTAGCAGAAACACAAAGTATTGTTAGGGTTCATGTTACTTTTTTCTCTCACTGACCTCTCTCATATCAACTAAAGACTTGGCTCATTTAAAAAAAATCCTACTTTTTATTAAAATTTCAGAACCTCAACCAAGCTTATGAACTAACCTGCAATGACTTATGTTATCCTTTCTTCCACCCTCACTCCAGAAGATATAAATCATTATTTAGACTCTAGCTCAGGTGCAAGCCCACATGATTCATCCCTAGGCTCTTGCCCAGCCTACTGGTGCAGAAGCAGTCTCTAACCAGGACCTCTACTAAAATTGCCAGGATGGGTATCCTAAATGCAGCCATGGAGACCACATAATTATGTGCCTCACTGCAGGACTTAAAAAGGGTGTTCACAAAGCAGATAACTATAAAAAGCTTTCAGAAATTACCTAGGTCCTGATAAAAAATTCAGCCCTCTTTCTCACTTAACCAAAGCCATGAAAAATTTTACCAATCTAGAAACAGCTAGACCAGAGGAAATTACTATTTGAAATCTCCAGTTTATCTCCCAATCATCCCAATACTCGGGGCAAGCTTCAAAAGCTTGGTAACAGTCCTCAAACCCCATAAAAGCTTCTCAATTTAGCCTTTGAAGTTTTTAATAATTGTGAAAAAGAATGTAAACGACAGAAGCAAGCAGAGTTTCAAATGCTTGACTCCGCCACCAGAGACCCTGTGGGCACACATGTCCATAGCTCTACCCAAAAATCTTTTGGTGATTTACCCCCACGAGGTGCCTGTTTCAAGTGCAGCAATGAAAGCCACTGGTCTAAGCACTGCCCTTAAACAAGTAAGCCACTCTGGCTGTGCCCCCGCTACAGAGGGCCCCACTGGAAGTTGGACTGTAGGCAGACTGAGCAAATTCTGCCTCCATCCCTTCCTGAGCGGACCAGATCTTCCTACTCAGATCTCATCAGGCTTGCTGCTGAAGACTGAAAGTGTCCTGGAATGATGCCTCAGCAACTATCATCACTTTATCCAAGCCAAGGGTAATCCTGATGGTAGCAGTTAGGCCAATATACTTCCTAACTGATACTGGGATAACCTATTCTGGTCTGCCTGAGTTTTGGGGACCCACCAAACCCTCCCAAGTCTCTATTATGGGGATTAATGGAAAAGTCTGAAGCCCCTAGGTTACTCCTCAACTCCACTCTTCCCTACACACTTTTCCCTTCTTCCATTCCTTCCTAGTTCTGCCCTCATGTCCACTCCTACTCCTCTCCTAGGCAAGAACATATTCACTAAACTCCATACCACTCTCCACTTCCACCCCTTGCCCTCATTATGCCCAATCAGTACATCCTGACCCCTCCAGTTCTTGTCTTTTTCTCCTACTCCTCCAACAACACCATACTGAGCCTGTAATACCATTTCCTTTTCCTCCATCTATTTTCAATCCTGTTGTCTGGAATTTGTCTACAACCTCTGTAGTGAAGCATCAAATCCCGTCTTGTATTACCCTGAAAGAGTCCACCCAATTCCAGTCTCAGAAACAGTATCCAAACCCTCAGGTATCTCTCATAGGCCTAACATCTATTATTTCTCACCTTCTAATCAAGCTAATCAATCACCTACTCTGACCAACTAACTCCTCCTTTATTACACCCATCCTTCTTTTCAAAAAACACACAAAAAAAATCACAAACCAAAACAGATGGAACCTATAGTATAGTCCAAAACCTCAATCATTAAACAAGCTGTACTTCCAGTGCACCTGGTAGTTTCCTCGGTCCCCTCCAATACCACCTACTTTTCTGTTCTAGACTTAAAAGATGCCTTTTTTTCCACTATTCCTTTAGACTCTCTCAAGATCTCTTTGTCTTCACATAGGAGGACACTGATACCCACTTCACATCAACTCACATGATATGTATTACCTCAGGGTTTCAGAGATAGTGCCCACTTTTTCAGTCTGTCCCTAAAATTGTCTACTCTCCTTCAATATGTTGATGGTCTGCAATG